CTAAAATACGAGAAAAACATCTCAAAAAATTTTTAGAATATCATATTAAAATAGGTCTAAATTTCAGCATCAGCCATGCAATACTGTATTGTATACCGTAAAGTTATTCTCCAGATAGCAGTTAGAGTATCTTTCACAGCTATCACAACACCTGCCTTGACTTCTCCTATGATGTTAATCGAAAGTTACCCAAAAGTTTCAAGATTCAGATATCTTTCTTTAGATTTTTTATGCCTTTATTTAGCTCCAAACAATCCTCTATTAATAATTAATAAATTCAAAATATATATACATGTTTTGAAGACTTTTTTTTAAAAAGAAAAAATTGCTAACTGGCCACTGGTACCTTGACATTCTAATCACACTTTTATATTATAAAAAATGTTGCTGAAGAAAGATTTGGCCTTATCATAATAGGTTTTAGCAAATAGTATCAAAGCATTACTTTCCTCTTTTTTTGAATCAAGTTCAATGCCATTTAGGTAATTTTCATCTTGAAAATTATAGTTAAGAATAATCTTGACAACCTCTTTGACAAGGTCATCTTTGTTGAGCTTGGCATTTGACACTTCAAAATCAAAACTTGATCAAATTTTATTATGATCATAACCTTGGTTATAGTTTTTCATACCATCATGACTTTACAATTTTGTTGTACAAGATGGCCACCCCTTCCAGGAAGTCAGTTATTGCTTGGTACTAAATGTTCATTGCTCATAACTATTATCATATATACATCAAAAAAAGCGTTATAATTTCATTTTATATGAAACTTATAAAAAAAGAAAAGCCAATTTAAAATAATTTCCTTGCTCAAGAATTAAGGTTAAATTTGTAAAATTAATACTGTGAAGTATGCCTATGTAATATATATTAGATCTTGATATGAGACTGATCTTGTATCCAATATACTTAATATTGTTTATCTTTGTCTCGTAACGAAAACATTAAAATTGAAAGTAGCATATTTTGTTAACTGAATCTCTAGGTCTGAATTGAGAAAATGCTAATCACCTAATATTATCAATAAATAAGAATACTAATACACAATACGCTATGATATCTGTTATTAAGATCTTAATTTTACATATAGTTTAAAATTTCTGTAAACAGTAATCTTAACTAAGTGGTATCCAGAATGTGCAAATTATAGTCGAGTATAAATACCTCTTCACACTAGTATTCAGGGTTAAAGTAATACAAGAATCTAAAAAAAACAATAATATAAAAGTTGGAAATTAGATCAACAAAAAAAGTATATTTTATTATTTTATTTTTTTTTCTATTTAATTTTTTTTCTATTTAATTTTTTTTTTTATTTAATTTTTTTTATTTAATTTTTTTTATTTAATTTTTTTTTATTTAATTTTTTTTATATTTAATTTTTTTTATATTTAATTTTTTTATATTTAATTTTTTTCTATTTAATTTTTTTTTATTTAATTTTTTTTCTATTTAATTTTTTTTATTTAATTTTTTTTTTATTTAATTTTTTTTCTATTTAATTTTTTTATTTAATTTTTTTTCTATTTAATTTTTTTTCTATTTATTTTTTTCTATTTAATTTTTTTCTATTTGATTTTTTTTATTTAATTTTTTTCTTTTTAATTTTTTTTCTATTTAATTTTTTACAGTAAAACCTCTGTAAATGCATCCCTATAAGTGTATACCCTTAGTGTTAAGACTTAAAATAAAAAGTTAAGAACAAAAAATTGATCAATTTCGAGATCATGTAATAATTCATTAAATTTGATATACATATTAAATTTTTTAAAATGTCCAAACCCAATTTTCATTAAAGAAGTAAAAGTAAAAATACTAAAAGACCAAAAACAGTTCCTATTCAAAACATAAATCGACAAACTTTATGATATAGCCAATGACCTCGTACATATAACCAGAATTCATGTGAAAAATAAATTAGAACCCAAATAGGAATTACTAATAAACAGAAAGAATAGAAAGCATTACTACAATAATGAGAAAATTAATGAATTAAAAAAAATAAACTGCAGAATATATGAATTGGTCTGATATAAATGTGACAAATTCAATATCTAATTCCTAAAACAAATTTATTATAGCCCCGATCAAGAAAAGTTTGGATATTAATTTAGCAAAAGTAATATTTAATTCATCTTTGCATCATGAACGATATTTCAGCTAGCCAAAGCCAATAGTAGTTTCAACTATTCTGTAATACAAAAGTGCATTGTTAGATAATGTAGAGTATATCCAATTTTATCTATTTGTTAGCCCCAAAAGAAAATTAAAAGTGCTTTTAAGCAAGAAAGTTAGTCCTTTTCCTGAGTAGTTGTTTATTGTTTGACGCTGCAAAGTCAATTTTGTCATGTGCTTATTCATAAGTTTTGACTCTAAGGACCTATGATTCACCTATTATATTTCCATTTTTGTTCATCATTACATGATTCTGATTTTTTCATTATACAATTGTCTGCACATGATCATGATTGTCTTCTGTGGCTTATGAAGCAGACCATGAGCTATACACTGCTCTCTATTAACAATGATCAGGCAATGAACAACTATTCAGGAAAAGGATAAAATATTCTGCTTGAAAACACCCTAAATAAACCAAAGCAGGTTAATGTAAAATATAATAACTTATTAGTTAATATAAGATCTGCAATACCTCCTATTTGTTAAAACTATTAAGAAATTTAATAAATTAAGGATTAAATTTTAGATAATATAAAATTTCTCCAGATGCATTGAATCTGTATATCAAATGTAAATCAGCAGTAGGTGTATTGTAGACAAAATCTCTGAATATATAGAAAATAAAATTTGCAGTATCCTGCCTATTAAATTATTTTTTCCAGGCACATTGAGCATATATAGTCATTTATCTGTAATTATAAAAATATTCAAAATTACAATCATATTAAAACATAATAAAATATATTATACAGAATAAACATAAGACCCACAAATATGAGCCAGATATTGTTGCATAAACCCTTATTGCAATTAATTTTATTCACTATAAATATGTCCAAATTCTATTATAACAAAACATCATACTAATTTTGCTCGAGATACTAATTCGATTACCTTTTTGCTTCTATTTAATCTGTTATTCTATACTTAACATCTGTTTCTTTTTTCTTTTCTCTCTTGTACTTTTTTTCAATTTTTTTTCATTTTACATTCTAAATTTTTTTTTCTCTTTTCTTTCTATATTTTTCATTTTAACTTACTTTCTCTTTATTTCTTCTTTTTCTTTCTATTTTATTTTTATCTATTATTTCATTTCGTCTTTTTCTGCTTTCGATCTTCTTTTTTATCCTTCTTTTTATTCAAAATGCAAACATCAACATTAGAATATAATAAATTCTATCTTTATAAATCACTCTCCAATCGCTATGAAAGATTTTGTAATGCATTTGCATACAACAAAATGGTCAGCACCAAGGTTTCCAAGTATCCAAAAGGAATAGTGCTTAAAGAATGCAATAGTGCTTGGATGGATATTAAAAGTAAACCTAAGAATAAAATTGAAAATACTATAAAACACCTAATTAAAAGTGCTGGCCCTACTATTCTAGACATAAATCCCCTTTAAAATTTTAATGCAGCTATTCCAATTCAAAATCGAATAATTGAGAAAATCATTGTTCCTGATATGCCACTACCAAATGCTGCGTTACAGAAAAAATAGCAGAAACCATTACTAAAATAAATGATGAAATTGTGAAATGTCAAAAGGCCTATAATTCTATAACTGATTTAAAAGCTTGACATGAACTAATAAATTGCATAAAAGACCTTAAGAAAGCTCTTAATACTTAAGACAAGAAAGGTCAAACCCTAAAACAAAAAGCTGGTTACCAACATAAATATAAAGAGAAAAAAGACCAGGATTTAAAAGAACATCAACAGGTCGTGAAGTATAACTCACCTAAACACCCTTCTTTTCTATACAAGTACCTGGACCTACTAGAGCACATTTATGAGAGCATAGAGTTCGGGGCTGCTGATAGCAAAAGAAGAAAAAAGGTTATTAAGGTCTGAATAGTGAATCATTTATGAGAAGAACTAGAGTCAAAATATGATGAACATCTCTCTCAAACTACTGTAAATAATTACTTGCTGCCATGTCGATTCAACTCAATAGAAGCAAAAAATCACTATCACCCAACCAATGTTCAGGTCAGTAATATTTTTGATATACATGATCTTTTCTGAACTATATATGTTCATGTCTATGAATGTTCATACTCTACCTTCATGTAAGGCCAGACAAAGTAAATTTTTCATTTACATTATCTGCCAACTACTTATTCAATATATCAAAATTTTTTTTTTAAGTTCCAATTATGGCTATTATTCTATTTTTTCTATTATTTTTTTGTTATAAATTGATCCAGTCTCACCTGATGGAGACCTTAATTAATATACTTTTAAAACCAGAATTTTAATAACATGCCTATACCTTTTTATTTCTATTTGTTATGATTCTGGTTCAGGTCACGTCTGTCTTAAAAAATGAAAGGAAAAAACATCAAGATATGCATTATTGTTTTGCCTTCATAAAGGCGACAAGACAATTTGCTTCTCTTTTTCTAGCTTTGTCAGTGATTGTGTCACAAGATAACAAAGCCAAGTCCCTCTTGGCATTCTTGCTGTTGGAAAAACTTTCCAAGCCATGCAAAGTTTCAATAAGCCGGTCATAATTCTGGACCATAACTTTCCTGTTGGCTCACAACAGAAACTTGTTTTCTCTGTTTACTTCATAATTGATTCGAGTGACACAAATGATAAACTTCATAGTGGACAGCTATCTATACATCCGTCTGCAATATGAGGTGGGAACAAGTTCTGAATCTCATATGAATGATCTATATTCATTAGTCAATAATGACAGCTTTGATAAAATGTTAAAGATTAACAATGAAATAAGACCATCTGGGTCCTCATTGTAGATGGGGGCCAGATGAAAATTCTCAATACTTAAAAAATATAACACAATATTGAACATGTTTCGATCCTTTGATCTTGACTATTTGACTGTTAGGACTCATGCTGCAGGTTAGTGATCTAGATTTACTAAAATTATTTAGTTAAAAATTTAGCTAACTAATAAGGGAACTAATATTTATAATATAAATATAGCCCCTTCAGAGTCAATCATTTGACAATTACATGTACAAATGTAATCTATTATTTGACAATCGCAATTTCTAAACTAGCCAATTATATAAAGTTTATATTATAATTACTTTAGAACTTATAATTGTCAAATAACTAACTTTAAAATGGTTATATTTTTGTAATAAGTGTTAGTTTCTTAAATAGAAATGTTAAACTGGTTCAATTTTATTATATAAACCATCTTAGTTTGGGTAATTTAATATATTTGATCTGGTTAAATGGTTTAACATCTCTACTAATAAATATTAAGCAACTGGTTAACTAAACATCAGCCTACTTTATTAATTACTCTAGGTCAATCAGCATATAATCCTGTTGAAAGGGGTATAGTATCCCTTTCAGCAAAACTTGCAGATATAACTCTAAGTAATGATAAACATGACTCTCACCTTGACTTACAGGGTAAAGTCATCAACTCAGAGCTAGCAAGAAAGCATTTTAAGCATGCAGGCAACACTCTTTGCGAACTGTGGAGATGGGACAATATATTCAGAAAGCCAGTCGTGACTGAATATGTCAGCATGGAAAATACCTCATTTTCAGATAATGTATCTTGGAAATGGATTGAACTCCATGCAAATATTTGTAGATACTCCTTGGACATCAAAAAATGTAATAATAACATATGTTGTTTATCCAAATTGTATGAGGAGGCTGCTAGCCTTCTTGCTACAACTAATGGCTTTTTTCTACCTATTCTAATAGGAAAAGATAGCCATTATGTTAATTCAATACATTTACTAGAGTATTTTGATGAAAATAAAATACTGGGATATGATGAACACTGCTCTTTCATAAACAATTATGTAAAACTTTCCTGCTCTATTTGTAAGAAGTATTTCTTAACAGCAGCAATAGTTAATACCCATATACAAAGTCGACATTCTAGTCCAGTTAAGTGTAAATAAGAAAGGCCAAAAAAACAAAACATAGAATAAATTAATTTTTTGTATTATTCGAAAATTATTATTATTGATTTTAATAAAAAAAAAGATAGAGTATATTGTTGGCAAAACTTTAACAAAATTCCTAGTGCCTTACCTTAATATCCTATCTAAGATCTCTTATCAATAGAAGTTTTAAATCTTGGCTAAATTGTGTACATCTATTAAATAAGTTATTTTTTTATAAATTTAGGTTTGGGGTCTTGTGAAAGATTTCATATTTCCACTATCATCAATAGTAAAATGAATGTGATCCAAAGAAGTAAAGATCTATATACATGTTTTTTATAATTGGAATTTTATTATTCTCGAAGCCAGTATTAATAAAAGTACAAGTGTATGAACCTCTTAGTAAATACAATGCAGTACGTACCTAGAAACTAAAAAGTCTAACAAATATAGTTCTATACTTTGATTAGTATTTAATTTTTGTTATAACAATTAAACTTATGCATGTATCCTGAAATTTGCTAAGCCTCCAAGATTTATAAATAAGAGGGCTGATTCTGTCAAACCTGTTAAATTAGCATATTTAGTGCTAGTGGACTCTTCTGATATAGTTATACATGCCATAGAAACTATTTCGACATTGCTGAAAGTATTTTGGCATTGCTTTTTGACATGAAATATCTGTTATTTCAGAAATAACCTAGAAATTTATATTAAAAATTCATACTAAAATACTTTCTGCAATACCAAAATAGTTTCTATGACACCAAATAGTTTCTATGACATGATAGTTAAATGAAACACAATATATGGATAATTGATGTAGCATGTGAAACACAACATGATCTTGCAAAACCATTATAAAACTGCATTATAACATGAGTGAATATATAGAACATAAAATGCAATGTTAATAGTAATAGGGCATTATAATTGTTAACTGTTTTGACTATTATTACTATGCCATATAGGGCCATTATGACATTATAATCTTGTGAGGATAGCTTGTTACTGTGCCACACAAGACCGTTATAACATACTTCTGTGACTATTAACCATTGGCTAAACATAGGTCGTTATGACATCACAATCTTGTGAGGATAATAACCATTAACTGCTAGTTACTGTGCCATACAGAACCATTATGACAGTTTTTAGAAGGTTCCAAATAAAAATTTATTGGGTTTAAAGAGGTTCCAATTATCTGGGTCTGAAGAGGTGTATATCTACGTAATAAGTGACACTTTCCTTATTTAGAACTTATTTTGATTAGACAAATGTGTACTATAACTTTAATTAAAAATGTAAGATAAACTATTATAATAGAAACTGAAAAAATTAAATTATTAAAACTAGAGATCAAAAGCTATCAGTATAGTTTTTTTAATGAATTTAAAAACTAAAAGTATAATATTTACAATATATATATAAAATACTGAACTGAATAAATTTATTTAAGACAACAAGATAGATTGTCTTAGTAAAATAAATAATTATAAATATTTTTAGATGAATGATTTTTTAGTTAATTTTTTGTGTAATTGATTTAAGCTCATAGTTGTATTGCCTAACAAAATAATAAAAATTATTATTAATAAAACTCTCTTCAACTATCAATACAATAATACACTAAAAATCATAGTACTTATCTTTTAATGTTTTTTTAAAAGATTGTTTTGACCTTGTGCCAAATTGTAAAACTGCCTTTATTATCTTTGAGGAATGTTATATAATATATTTAATTCTCAAGTAACAATCTCTCACATTTGCCCTATCTCTAAACTTAACCATAATACCTGTTACAATATATATAAAAAATAATAAATAAATACACAAAAAAGTTTTAAAAATCATATAATATTATCAATTCATGATATTATATCATTATAATTGATTTAGTAAATGATTTTTTTTTCTTCAATTCTTTAAAGTGAAAAGTAATAGTTAAAAACATAAAATCTAATAAACATACTATTCTAAAAATATATGTTGATTACATAGCCAAATTTCTATTAACAATAAACAAAAAAAGAATAAAAATTGTAATAAATTATAAAAATTAATTAAGATTTAATTTTTAATGCATTTTTGAAAAATTGTAACTGATTATTATTTGAATCCAGGACATAGCAAAAAAAATTATTGAAGAAACCAAATAGTAATAAATGGGTCAGTAGTATTAATAAAGGCTTTATGCTATTGCATAAATTGGATAATTATAATCATTTTAAAAAGCAATGAAATATTCCAAAACCGTAATTATTTTTTTTTTTTAATGTTAAGGTGAGTACATACGATCCAGGATTTTACTGATAGTATAAGTTGGCCAGCACCTGTATATGTACAGATACAGAGGCAATTACAGAAAGAGTGTACAACTAGCTACTAGTACAACTTTAGTCATTGTCTAATTTAAGTAGTCCGCCTGAAGGTTTTACACTAGTTGCTATACCTAGAACTAGGGGCCTGCAAATTGCCTATTTTTGAGGCCCGGCCCGGCCCGCAATTAGGGTTAAAAATTTTTTTTAGGTCCAGCCCGGCCTGCATTTAGGGTTATCATTTTTTTGCCAGCCCAGCCTGGCCCGCATATGTTAAATTTTTTCTTCAGCCCGGCCCGGCCTGCAAAAATTTCTTATATAATTTTACAAATTTTTAGGCCTGCATTGGCCCACAATTATAAAGTTTTGCAAATTTTTTGGCCTGGCCCAACCCGCAATTATAAAATTTTTCTTTAGGCCTGGCCTGACCTACAAAAATTTACGGGCCGGGCTGGGCCGAACCGGCCTGCAGGACCCAACACAGGCCTCTACCTAGAACCCACCTGTAGATCCTCTATTTAAACACTCTGATTCTGCATCCATCACACTCTACTAATGACTCCGGTAAACCGGTGAAGATATGCCATAGTCACTAAGTCATGTTTAACTTTGTACTAAACCTATCAGTGCGTTCTGTATTCCATACTTACAGCTCACCTGGGCATGCTTTGGCCTAAACCATCACTTGCAGTCAGGGCTAACCATTAAACCACTTTTACCCTTGTAAGGTTTATCCAAAACCCCAGTACCTATCTTTCTGACATTCTTTTCATCATCCCCTACTAACCGTTACTCAGGACCGACAGAACTCCCTGGACTTCCAATTCAAATGGTCTGGTATGGTATACCTTAGTATCCTTTTCCTCCAGTGATTTCAGCAGCCTGGTTGGTTATGTGCTCCTCTACATATCTTGCCATTCGGTTTATTCATCTATCCCTTTGGGAGTGTTTTATGAGCTTCCATCAGTTTGACAGCACTGTCGAAAGTTTTGTGCTACCTCCTTACTCAGGATTTCCAAGTGGGTTTCTGATTCTTTGGTTCCTTTGCTTTCCACACCCGGTGATCTTATCATGGGTTTGCACCGAAGTCTTATGCAACACCGGTTATTAACATTCCTCTATGTGGGTGTAATGTTACACTTAGCATAGATGCCCCGAGCTCCCATTCAGATGGTGCAACAAAGGTTACAGATACACCAATCCAACTGATCGACAGAGACAGTTACCATAACACAGACCTATTTTCCAAAATTCGTCATCCATGGGATTTGAACTCTAGACCTGCCACTTGAGGGTTGACAACCTGACCACTTCACTAGGTCGCCACACCCCTCCAAAACCGTAATTATAATACTTTCTGGCTATAATAAATAATATGTTTATTGAGTTATTCGAAATAAATAAAATGATTAATTTATTATTTATCGTTTAAATTTTTTTGTTTGTATTTTTTTGATAAGCTACATGAATTTTTAGTGCTTGATATATTTTTTACATGACGTTCGAAACTTTTTTGGGTGGCCGCCTTAGAAATTGGCAATTAATGTTACACGATAATATCGATATTGGATCATGTTAATGTGAAATTTGTTTAGCCGGGCAAATGGTGGCTGGAACGTGCCAGACGATCATTTGCCCGGTTGAACAAATTTTACATTATTTATCAACATCAAAAAAAAAAACTACAGTATATATATAAGAAAGAATTCTTAAGAAAAATGGTTCATTGCTCCACTTCGCGTAAAAATATTTCCTAATTATATAATATTCTTATAATAATGCTAAGTCATTCGTTCTGTTGAAATTTACAGTCTATTGTAAAAGTATTAGAAAAATTTTAAGTATTTTTTATGCTGTCCAAATCTTTGGCACCTAGAGAAGCAATGAGACCTTCGTGTATGAAGTAATCTTTATTAAGTTTTGCAAAATTTTCGTTAAAATCATCAATACTGTTGAAAGATATTTCTAATACGTGAGCCATTTGGGGGCATAGCTTTATTAGCTTCGATTTCTTGTTGATTTTACTCCATCCACAGCCACAGAACTCGCAACGCAATATTTGTGTAATAGTTATGCTAAAACCACGCATCGCATCTAGAGTGTACCATTGACCAGAATGGATGCCAGGAACTATATCTCTTTTGTAAAAATTACCGACAGGTTTATATAACCAGCGCGCCCCAGTTGTGCTACAACCGTCGCGTTCCACCTCCCATTCATGAGTCATTTTTTTAACACTGTTGGCATTGTTTACAACATAACTACCTTTCATTTGAACACCAGCTCCATTAATTTGACCTTCAACCCCTTTACTTGTTCTATGATCTGATAATATTTCAACAGCCTGATTGAGTTTATATGGCTGTTTATAATCATCTTTTGGCACTATCATGGGGAACATATTTTCATCATCGTGTGGAATTGGAGAAATTTTAATCTCCACAGAGTCTAGAAAATAGCCAAAACCTAACTCATAAAGTGATTTCCAATTTTCACTTAGCATACGTCCCGTTCTACAATCATGTACATTAGCATAAAACTCCAAAATGTTTGAATATGACTTATTATTAGCGGTGGTAACTTTTGCCTAAATATTTACAGTAATGCAAAAATTCTGCCGATTTTTTTTTGGATCCTTTTTATCAACGGCTGTAGCTGTAGATGTAATAGTGATACCTTCATCGTCATTTTCATCATTACCACAATATTCATCACCACCACCACTATTTTCATCATCATTTTCATCACCACCACCGTTTTCATCATCACCACCATTTTCATCACCATCACTATTTTCATCATCATTACCATTTTCATCACCACCATCATTATCATTATACTCTCCACCGTTTTCACCATCGTTAACTCCGTTATTTTCTTTTTCATCATCACCATTTTCATTCTTTTCTGAAGATGAAGACGAATCAGTTGGTCCATTACTATTAAACTCTCCGTCATGAACACTATTACCACCATTTACATCTCTATTCATAAAGACTACTTTGTTGACCACTTCAAACTCATCCATAAACAAATTTGAAAGTTTTTTTATGATCTCGCTATTTAGGCATTCGGCACTCCAGCAAGTGATGCAAGGCATTGAATAATCTTGCTGAAAATCCGGACCTACGGCATATACTTGCACTAGGTCTAGTATGTGGTTAACGGCATCTTTTTTATTTTCAAGTAATGAGAGTAATCGTTCAACCTCGACGTATGCGGTGGCTGATATTCCAGGAGAAATCGTTGAACGTATTGAAATAAACTCTGACGTAGTGTCGCCCAAAAAACCTGACTTGCTACCATTTCCAATGATGGGTGTGAGTGCGAAAAACCGAATGTCATTAAGAATATCATTGTCAGCAATGTTATATTCATTCTTCTCAACTCCAATTCCATTTTCATAATAATACCCAAGATTGTTTATTCCTTTAGGATCATCCATTTTAGCAGATTTTTGATTATAAATAAATGCATTATGTTCATCCTTTTCAACTCCAACTACATTTTTATAGTAATATCCAAGATTGTTTATTCCTTTAGGATCATCCATTTTAGCAGATTTCTGATTATAAATAAATGCCTTATGTTCATCCTTTTCAACTCCAACTCCATCTTTGTAACGGTTGCCAAGCGCAAATATTCCGTCAGTGTCCTCCATCTCTACAGATTTTTGATCATAAATGAATGCCTTATGTTCATCCTTTTCAACTCCAACTCCATCTTTGTAACGGTTACCAAGCGCAAATATTCCGTCAGTGTCCTCCATCTCTATAGATTTTTGATCATAAATGAATGCCTTATGTTCATCTCTTTTAACTCCAATTCCATTTCGATAACAATATCGAGTGGTATATGTTCCATTAGCGTGTCTCATCTCTGCTAATTTTTGATAATAAATAAATGCCTTACGTTTATTCTTTTTAGCTCCAATTCCATTTTGATAACAATATCCAACATTACATAATCCATTAACGTTCCCCATCTTTGCAGATTTTTGATAATAAATGAATGCCTTATGTTCATCCTTTTCAACTCCAATTCCTTGGTTGTAAAAATAACCAAGCTTACATAATCCATCAACATGACCCATATAAGCGGATTTTTGAATATAATTGAATGCTTTGTTTTCATCCTTTTTAACTCCAGTTCCATTTCGATAACAACATCCAACATTATATATTCCATTAACGTTCCCCATCTCTGCTGATTTTTTATAATAAATGAATGCCTTACGTTCATCCTTTTCAACTCCAATTCCTTGGTTGTAAAAAGAACCAAGCTTACATAATCCATCAACATGACCCATATAGGCAGATTTTTGAATATAATTGAATGCTTTGTTTTCATCCTTTTTAACTCCAGTTCCATTTCGATAGCAACATCCAACATAATATATTCCATTAACGTTCCCCATCTCTGCAGATTGTTGATAATAATTGAATGCCTTACGTTCATCCTTTTCAACTCCAATTCCATGATTATAAAAATAACCAAGCTTAAATAATCCATCAACATGACCCATATAAGCAGATTTTTGAATATAATTGAATGCTTTGTTTTCATCCTTTTTAACTCCAGTTCCATTTCGATAACAACATCCAACATTATATATTCCATTAACGTTCCCCATCTCTGCAGATTGTTGATAATAAATGAATGCCTTATACTCATCCTTTTCAACTCCAGTTTCATGTTGATAGCAACCACCAGCTAGAAACATTATATTTGAATCCTTTGTTTCAGATGCCATTTTGACAATAATCAATGAAAGATTATTCTAAATGTTTGGCAGGCAATATTTTGAATACAAATACTGTATGTATTTTCAGTAGAAATGTTTTTCGTAACTGTCAAGAATAAATTTGACAAAATGATACAGTTTATATTTTTATAAAAATTATAATCTACCCGTATTTTGAAGTAGCTAGTAGAGTACAGTAGCACTGTAAGATTGTACAAATAAAAGTACCCCAGTGCACCGACGTAAAATCAAAACAAAAAACTACCATTTTTCAAAAAATTCGCCGTAACTCAAGATTTCGTATATGTAATCATCTTCTGCGCGTTAGTAAAAAACATTCCTTGGAGAATTTTAGTGTAAGACAAGTACCGTTATAATTATAAACCTTAACGTTTTTATGACTTAAAAGAATTGTCAATCAATGAAAATCTATCGGTGCCACTAGGGTAGTTGTACAAATATGTGTGGACGTACGGTTAACCTAGGTTTGTGTAAAATTCAAATTTTTACATATAAGTCCATTATTCTCGCTCGGATTTAATTTATTAATCAAACGAAATAACACAATGGGAGTTGTGCCGGGCTGCGGCTCATTAC